GAAAATTATTACTAAAGACTTTTGTCATCTTGAAGTAAATGCAGATAAACGCCTGCTTTCAAAGTACGTGAAAGTTGTAGCCAGTGTTAATTTACTCTTATTAATTTATTTATAAAAGTCAAAAAAAACTACTCACTTGCAACTGGTTGCTGTACACATCAGTAGAACCTTACGTCGTTCACAATAGCGTCCCTCAAAACCGTCAGCGCAAATACATCTGCCTAGTTTTGTGTCGGCGTCCGTACACAAACCACCTAGAAAAGACGGTATGAACATGACAAAAAAAAAAAGAAGAAACACGCACTCCGTAACTACATATCATCAAGCGGACCCCTCGTTGAGCGAGCACATTCACGTCAAGGATAATGTGCCCTGGACCGTGCACTCGTACTCTTTTAGCTACGCCGAGAGAGGGGGAGAGAGAGAGCATCGGCGTGCGCGCGCGATTTAATGGAGACGTGTGTACGAGACATGGTTTGTGATTAGCATCACAATACGTACGCACAGACGTAGACACACTTTGACATCTGCACTAACTACACTGTCGCTTAGAAGGCAGATGGACTTAGGCGGAAGGAGACAGGGTTACGGTAACATTGAAAAAACCAACTTTGAGTGCAAAACTTACCGTTTCTACAAATTCCTTCATGCGCACAGATGCTGGGTAGTTGGATGTCGCAAGTGGCGCCAACGAAACCCTCAGGACATTGGCAAGTGAAATCCGTACGCAGGCCTCCATTCGTGCATATACCGCCATTTTTACAGGGTTGATGGCGAGTACAGTACTCAAGATCTGAAAAATGAAGATGTGACCCTCTCAAGGTAGGAAAAAACCGATCTATACAGTCAGCTAGATAATAGCTTGTGACTCCTAGATAATTATAGCGCTGGTCTAAGTTAAAATTCAAATTAAGTTATTGATTTGTAGCGTAGGCAAGTTCAAACTTACCGCGCTCACAAAAGATTCCACCCCATCCTGGCTCACAAGCACAGGTGAAAGGCTGGTCGTCTCTACAGGTACCATGACGACAGTTCTCGCTTCGGCGACACTAAACTCCAAGAATTATTTGAAGACCTAATAATATTAGATTTTTCTCAAACCTCGCTGCACGTTGATCCAAAGAAACCATGGTCGCAATCGCATCTGCCTGGCTCGACGCAGCGACCATGTTTGCAGCCATCGGGGCAAATCGCTGGAAAATGATTAGGTGAGGACAAGATGACAAGAGTCTTTCAAAAGGCAAAAAATAATGAATTCAACAATTTGACTGCGAAAATTTATAAAAGATATACTTTAACGAAGTTTTAGGTAATAACAATTACGTCAAGAAAAGTCTGAACCTTCTGTTAAAAAAAGGACATCATGGGAAATTTCATTTGCATTTTTCCGCATGTTTGCCTATTCAAGAAACAAATTTGAAAGTTTTACCTTACAAGCTGGAAAATTGCTTTGATCAAATTTTCAATTTCTAAAGCTTCTCGTAGTCGATGAAATCAATTAGATATCAACCAAAATTCTCTTTCATAAAATTCTGAGTCGATGAATGCTTCGGCCGGATTTTCTTTGTTTTTGCCCATGATACCCTAACCACTGTTTTCATTGTGCGATTCCAAAGCAGCGGCACCTGTGAAACCGGCGACAGCATTGCCAGCTGCTTGAAATGGTCCGCGAATGAATGGGAGGCGGA